TAATATTTTAGGATGATTCATCTGCCATTTGCTGTATAGAATGGATCTGAAAGGACTGGTAGAGGCCTTTGAAATCAGTGGTCTACTGGGAAGAGCCCGGGGTTAGCACAGTAGGTGACATGGATTCCAGCTTTGGCTCTACCACTGACCACCTGTGTACCTTGCTATACTCAGAGCCCTGCACTATGCCTCTATTCCTTTATCCTCCTTTATCTAAAATTCTATGATTATATATTTTAGAAACGTATAATTTAGAGAATTCTACATTTAAGGATGGATAAGCTGCAGATTCAATCATATTTCTTGAAACTACACAAAAGGCTGAAAGGCTGATAGAAGATGGTTAACCTACAATATGATATCTTCTGTGCTCCTATCAAGAAGCTACTTTTGGACCATTATAACTCCTGGTCATTTTACTTCACTTTAATGACTCATATGTTAAAAAGATGTAGCATACTTTTTTACCTGATTCTTAATTTTATATTTTTCTTTTTTTTTTTTTTAAGATTTTATTTATTTTATTTTTTGCCCCCAAAGCCCCAGTAGATAGTTGTATGCCATAGCTGCACACCCTTCTAGTTGCTGTATGTGGGACTCGGCCTCAGGATGGACAGAGAAGTGGTGCCTCGATGCGCACCCGGGATCCGAACCCGGGCCGCCAGCATCGCAGCGAGCGCACTTAACCACCAAGCCACAGGGCCGGCCCTATATTTTTCTGACATTAATCTCTGAGCATCATTCATCATATTGCTGACATCACTAAATATCAGGTCAGATTAATTGGTATTTGGTTGTACCATGCTGCTGAGCTCTTGACTGCGTTCCTCCCTCCTAATCCCTAGCAGCCTTTAATAAACACCACTGTCCTGGGTGCTGACACAGAACGGCAGTTACCTTCGATTTCCACTGAGGTCACCCTGGTGCAGAATATCCTACGACCAGGGTAAGGAAAGGTAATCCAGCTATTTAAAGAAAAGCGCTTTAGTTAAGTCTGGTGTTTCTTACACAGTTTTCCTTCTTCAGAGCAGTCCCAAGGTACAAAGGCTTTGACCCTGCCCTTCCAAATTCATCTCTCGTCTATGAGTTTTGCCCATGTCCCTGGCAAACTTTAATCTCCTCAGGTTTCTTTCTCCATATTTCCTGGACAGTGTGATTCTGGCTCTGAAAAAAAGGTCATTTACAAGGAAGAGACATATGCATGTAGTTGTTCAGAGGCTGTCATCCTTCTTAGTTCAGCTGACTTCCTGGAAGAAATACCACAAATAGTTTTGAAAGGAGGATCTAAAGTGGGTACTAAATTATGAAGTGTTGCAAACATTAGAAAGGAAAATCAAGAAAGGCTATTGGCACTACGGAAAAGGTAAAAAAAAAAAATCTAAATCATCTTTTCACAGAAATGACAAATGAGATTTAGCTAAGTATATGAACTTGAGAACTAGAACAAAGAACTGCTGGACCAAGAAGGGATGAGGAAAATGACTTTAAAGCATCAGGATTAAAAAGCAAATGTGCTCATAAAAAGGCTTTCAATGGAATAGACAGAAAACAAGTTATTTTGGTTAATTATTCAGTGGGAACAGTGGTTTTTGCTTTACAGATGGGAAACTGAAACCTTTAGAAGGAAAGTGACTTGAATATTATCATAAAGAAATAGGACCCCACTGTTCTGACTCTCAACTCCCTTTGCACCAAAATCCAAATGACATTCCATCTTTTATGTTCTATTGTTCTCTAAACTCAACCCTCTAGGATGTGGAAACTTTGATGCTCTTGGAAATTGCTTCTTTATTTGTCCAATGCCAACTTCTGTGCTAGGAGAAGTTTGAAGTTCAACCCAAAAACACAGGGCTTGGCACGGTCAAAAGCTCATTACAACTTCTCATTAGTCGTGTCTCTTGGGGCAACAATGGCATTCCTGAGAGTGACTCAGTCTCACCAGTCACAGCCGAGGGCTCCTGATTAATCTAAACGGAGCCAGAGGAAAGGCTGCAATAAACTCCAAGTAAATGAAGCAACACATCTTTCATGAAGAAAGTAAAAAATTACCTGAAAATTTCTCGAAATGTCATCTCAGTATTAATCATAATAATACCTAAAACTAATTTAATGTCTATTATGTACTAGGCACTGTATTTGTGTTTGACATTATTAATTCATTTATTTCTCTTAATAACCCTATGAGACATGTACTATTATTATTCCTATTTTAAAATAGGAAACTGAGGGGCTGGCCGGGTAGCGTAGTGGTTTAGTTCATGTGCTCCGCTTTGGTGGCCCGGTGTTTGCTGGTTTGAATCCTGGGCGCAGACCTACATACTGCTCATCAAGCCATGCTGTGGAGGTGTCCCACATACAAAATAGAGGAAGATGGGCACAGACGTTAGCTCAGGGGTAATCTTCCTCAAGCAAAAAGAGGAAGATTGGCAACGGATATTAGCTCAGGGCCAGTCTTCCTCACCAAAAACAAAAAAACATGAAACTGAGTCACAAAGATATTAAGTAACTCGCCATGCTGGCTAGGAACATTAATTACTTTAGAACAATAAGAATATATCAACTGATACTCAGAATCCTGATTTCAGGAGCCATGAAAAGTTTCTCTAGATTAAGAATAACTTTATCAATCCAAAAAAGGACAGAGTTTAATTTATAGCAATCTACCAATGACAGTTTCTTAGTGTTGTACATTCTTCAAACCTAGCATGGCAATATCAGATGTTAACAACAGGGAAAACTGAGTGTACTCACCTTTATGTGTACTATCTTTACGACTTTTCTGTAAATCTAAAATTATTCTAAAATAAAACGGTTATTTAAAAAAAGCTTTATCTGGATATCTCATAGATGGAACTTTTCATTGCATCAGTTCAAATAAAAATAATGCTATTCTTTTTCCTAAAAGTCAGGAGAATATTGAAAGCAGTGGGGCCCTCATAACACTGTACATTTTCTATGTAAGTGGGAGAATGGTAAGGTCTCCATTAGTGCTAACTTATTTAGCTTCAGAGACTTGTGCTAGAGTTTTAAAGGCAAATTGGAAACTATTTCCTGGAACAATGCCTCACAGCATGCCTTTTGATACTTGGATTATATTTCTTAAATTCTGAAGAAATCTTGCGTTTTCTCCCCTTCTGTGCATTTTTGGTGCTGAGCTGTTTCCGGTTTTCCCACAGTCCTGCCTGTCAGAGAGAAGAAACCACAAAAATGCAGCAAAGGAAAGTTTGTCCATAGAGCTGCAATCCCATCTCAGAGGGCTGAAGACTTCTCCTGCCAGCAGTGAGTGGCGTCTTCAGACGTCCACCCTGCCGCCTGCCGACGGAGCCCACCTCTCCACCAGCAGACCAGCTAGCCACCCGGGCCACCATGGGCCATCTCAGGGTACCAACAGTAACTGGAGAATCCACAAAGCAGGAGCACACTGGCAAATTCAACATTCATATCTGACTCGCTAATTTTCCTCCCTAACTGTGGGCTTCTCAAACTTGTGAGGGAGAGTGTGGTTTTAGAATGCTTAGGATGGTGATGAAGCCTTAGTAAGTTCTTACACATGCTAGGTCTTGTTCTATGTACTTTACATGTATTAACTCTGCTAATATTCATCAACTGTCCTCTATGAAGTAGATACTCTTATTATCTCCACTTCACAAACGAGAAAACTGAGGCCAAGAGATTAAGTAGTCTGTAACTTGCCGAAGGTCTCAGGTTGGTAAAGTGTGGAGTGGGGATGTGAATACAGGTGGTCTGGCTCCAGAGGCTGTGCCCTTAAGGATTCGTCTCTGCTCTTTCCAGGGTAAGGGGCCATACAGCTTCCTCGCTATTGTGCTATTTGGCCTTCAACCACAAACTGCAGCCTTCCCACTGCCCTTCCCTACTGCTCCAGAGAGTTCTGTAAAGTCATTACAATGCCAATTATTCCTCAAACAGTGCTTGGCACTTAGTAGGCGTTTCATAAACATTTGCTGGATAAATGAATAATGGCAGCAATAAAATTAAAACAGCCACAAGGGATGTTTTCAATCCAAATCCAGAATTTGATTCACCATCCCAGGGCAAAAAGTGGTAACCGCTTTTTCTATGTCCTAGGATTCTGTCTTACAACTAAAATCGAATTTGTGAAGCACAAATGAATAAGGAGCCTTAATGAGAGCAAAAGAAATACACACATCTCCTCCAGGTGTTTGTCCATCAGGGAATGCCCACCTCTTCCAGACAGCTTGGAAAAGTTCTCCAATTTTAAATGGAGAAGGGCTGCTAAGACCAACGCTCTTTATCAGTCTATTTCTGGTTCACTAGCTAAAAAATGGCTGGAGGTAGAGTGAAGGATGTGACCTAAAAAATCTGATTCAGGCATGGAAATGTCTTTTTTGAGGTAAAATAGGTAGACTACAAAAGATATTAGAAACACTGTTGCTACACAGAGCCTGTTGACTAATGTCAACAGAAATCTCCCCAATAAAATCCCAATCTTACGTCTTCCCATTCAAATGCCTAAAAGTGAACAAATCAACAAGAGTGGGAGGCAGGGGAAGGGTGCTGAATTTCATATGAAATTGAAAAGATCTGAGTCTGTAGAATGACCAAGAGAAGAATACATCCAGGAGGAAGTTTTCATTTCCTTTCTCCAAGCCCACAGTTCAGCACTGTTACCTGGTGCACCGTCTGACTGTAGCTCCTGCCAGAGGCCGGAAGAGCTAGTTAGCAAAGACCCTGAATCCTGCCAGTGGCAGCTCTCTTCAATCCCTGGGGAACCTAAAAGAGCAGTGCCTGCCCCTCCCACGGGGTAAAGCCCAGACGTGGGCATGCTGCCATAGCTCCCCAGGTGGTTCTAATCTGTAGCCAGGTCTGAGAACCAGAGTTAGCCTTTGTTCCCCATCAGGTGTTCTTATTTTCAACATTTTAGTACAAATTGTCTTGAAGACTCCATAAATAAAGAGTACTGTTAGCAGAGAATTGATACAACTCAGAAGAAATTCAACAGAAGATTATTGAAAACTTACTTGGAAGTCCTCTGGGATGTTGCCTTTCTGAGAACTTGTTTGTGATTGGATGGGGGTTTGGGGACCAGGGAGGAGGAAGAACTTGGAGATGGCACCACTTTTTGGGGCAGAGTGGTTGGCTTCTGGCCACTAGCTGTGGCACTTGAAATTCTGCAAGCTGCACCATTATTCATTGTCCATAAATTGGAGTTAGGTAGTGTCTGGCTGCCAAAGATTGCCTACAAAGAAAAAGAAAAAAATGATTGATGGAGATGCTCTTCACAACCCATTTGCTATAAGTGAATAACTGGTTTGTAATCTTAAAGTGGGACCAAAAAAAATGGAAATCGTTAAAGTAATTTTTTAGGAAAAACTTCTCTAACAATGCCAGTGCAGGTCCAGATTCAGAGACGGGAAATCTCTTGAAGCAAAGAGTTGAGATGGTCTTGTTGAAAGTACACTGGGCTAGGAATCAGGGCATCTGGGTACTATGTATCGGTCCACATGTATGATTTAGAAAAGCACTTGGTCTCTCTTCATCTTAGTTTTCTTCATTGCTAAATTCAACAAATATTTAACAAATGTCTCCTAATGGGTGTCAAGTACTAGAAATACAGCACAGAACAAAAGTGACTTGAAGCTGGACTCAAATTCCAGCCCACTCACAGAACTTTGAACTCCTCTAGAAGGTTTGCACATTTGAGGAAAGGGAAGAAGCCAGTGTGGCTAGGGCAGAGTGAGCAAACAGAGAGAGTGGAGAGAGGAGGCTGGAAGAGAAACCAGGAGCCAGACCATGCATGGCCTTGAGGGCTATTTGTAGAATTCTGGCGTAGTAACACCTTTTTGACCTAAAGATTAACACAAGACTTTACATTTGAAAACACATTCAAAGTAAAATTACTACATGAATACTAGTTATTATATGAACACAAGATCAACACAAGGGTATTTTTGCTCAGAGAGTAAGCCTATAAATAAAGACCTACAAATCACCATCTAAACATCACAAACACCAACATATACCTATAGTTAGCATGTAAACATATACTTCACCAAATAGATGCTTAAAAAATTCTTACAACTTATTTACCTCATTAGAAATAATCTTTTGTGTCACAAATTTTGTTTCTGATCCTTCAATACTATAAACACTGCTTTTAATACGCATGCATTATAAAAGCTTTAAATGTAAAATAGCATTAAGAGAAAAATAATATAATTGAAAAAATACATAGGACTTTTAATTAAAAGGATTTCTGGCAATTGATTTCCATCTGTAGACATTACATTTAAAGAGACATAGGAGAAATGTCATTTCCTCATGGCGAGGCCTAAAGGAATCAGATCAAGTGCTCTTAGGAACATTCATCTTTTAGATAGATTTCACTAGTATTATTTTTGTCTGTTATGAATTTTATTTTTTAAGATATAGAAGATGAACTGGGTAGCTTTAGTAAAATGTTAACCAACCCTTCTATACTCATCCTTGGAATGTCCCATTTCAGGGAAATGTGCCCAAAGGCCCTGGGCTAGGCAGATATGAGGGGATCAAGGGGTCCTGTGTGGAGTAAATATGTTTGACTGAGAGGCCTGACAAAGAACAAAGTGATTTCAGAGACAGAGGATCAGAGCATTTTCAAAAGGACCAATCTGACTGAGATGTTCCTCATCTCTGCAAACCACCCGAGGGGGAAACTGAAGAGCTGTTCACTCACCTCCATCTCTGATCCAAAGAAGGGGAACAAAGGCAGACCCAAGCCCACAGGCAAAGCCAGGATGGCTGCACTGTGGAGTGTGTACATGTGGGGAGGTCTTCAGACGGTCTAAGAGGGCCCAGGAGTCCTGATCTGCTCCAGCGAGCTTTCTGAAGACAAGTAACCAAAGAGTGCAGCAAGAGGCCAGGCTTGTGGGACTGGCCCCAAAACAAACCAATTTCTTTCAGGCACCATTTCCATATCTGAGGGTCTCAAAATCTGTGGGAGAGACTCAACTGGAAGGAAAGAGGGCAGCAGGAAAGGGCTACCCTAGGTTTCTATTTTCGCCACTACATCCCAATTAAGTGAGTTTAGACTGAGGAGTGCTTGAAAGATGCTTGATTCAGGACAGGAAGGAGACCAGAAATCAGAATGAGGGCTGACAGGGCTGGCCCCGTGGTGTAGCGGTTAAATGCATGCGCTCTGCTGCTGGCGGCCCAGGTTCGGATCCTGGGCGCGCACCGAAGCACCGCTTGTCAGGCCATGCTGTGGCCGCGTCCCACATAAAGTGGAGGAAGATGGGCACGGATGTTAGCTCAGGGTCAGTCTTCCTCGGCAAAAAAAAAAGGAGGATTGGCGTGGATGTTAGCTCAGGGCTGATCTTCCTCACAAAAAAAAAAAAAAAGCAAGAATGAGGGCTGACGAGTTCTACAAGGACATCGATAAACAAATTCTCTGGATGAGGAGAAGAGGAGGAGAAACCATGGTTAGTAAAGAGCTCTTGGAAATAAAAATATTCTTTATTTAGTTAGATTTTTCATGTTGCGAGGGAACTGCCGTCAATAAGAACATCTATTCAATACACATTGCCATGGTGACAACTTAACCATATTTAAATTCATTGAGTTTTCCTTTTGTTAAAAAAATCTTTCTGGGACATTTAAATACAAATAAAAAGACGCAAGATCTGAACAGTGAGTATAGTAAGCTCCTGTTTATGTAAAAAAAGGAATGCACACAAACATACACATATGTACCAACACACACACACACACACACACACACACTCTCTCTCTCTCATACAAACATATATACAATGTTGGCATCTTCACAGAACAATTCTGAAAGGATGTACAAAAAACTGGTGACCTCCATGGAGAAGCACTGGTTAGCTAGGGGTCAGTGGGAGAGGGAAACTAATTGTTTACTATATATCATTTATACCTTTTAAAATTTTGTATCATTTATATGTAGTTATTTATTACAAAAATAAATTATTCAAAAGTCAAAAGGAAGTCAAGTTCTAATAAGAGTTAAGAAGGTAACAAATTAACTGTGAGTACAAGTCAAAAGTATCCAAATGAAGCCCACGTTTCAACCAGCAGGGTATAGGACAAACCATTAGACCAGGCTGAAGAAGGAATTACTGTTCAACACTTATTGTGGCTACAAAATCAGGTTAGGTCATCAGTGAAAGGCAGAGACTTGGGTAAGTGGGAAAGAGCAAGGCTTTCCTGTCAAATGTGCCTAGGCTCAAATGTAGGCTCTGGCACTTAGAAACTCGGTGATGTTTTCAAGTTACTTAACCTCTCTGAGCTTTAACTTCCTCATAAGCAAGTATAATTACTTAGCTGGATTGTTGGGGATTAAGTGAAGATCACATATGTAAATCTAGCCAAGGCATTCAATAAAGGTTTCCAGAAATAAATCAAAGTACCAGGCACAGAGCAGACACTCAACAAATGCTCCACTCCTTCCCAAACCTCCACCTCGGTTTTCTAAGGAACCCAACAACGGGATGACATGCCAGTCTGCCTGTCTGTAATGATTTGTGAAGGGTAGTTGGCTATGCATTTTTCAACATATTTTTCTAGTCTTATGATGATGCTCACTAGCTGTGAAAGCAAACTCTTAAAATGAAAACATATGTTTAGGTTCCCCAGATCATATTTACTCAATTCTCTCTGGCAGAAATAATCTTTTCCTCTTCTAAACACTTATAAAAATTTATTTGTATGTGTCTTATCACATTTAGCACATTCTACCATGTATTACAGACACTTACGTACGGACTTTTTCCCCCTTCTGGACAATACACACTGAAAATGGCTGGATTTATATCCGATTAATTTTTGTTTCACCCAGAGTGCCCAGTAGAATGCCTTGACCATAAAAGGTGCTTAATAAACATTTACTCCATGAATGAAAAAAACAAAATTCACATTATACCAACTATTCATCTTTTTTTTTTCTTTTCAGCAACTACTGAATTCCTATACAAGAAAGTAGGCAAGTTTGTGTCTACACAGAGATGTAATCTTGTAATGGCACCATTCTCTGGACTTTGAACAGTGCCTAATGTGCTATTTGTGTTCAACTCATACTCAGCCACAAAATGTAAGTAAGACCTTCTGTAGATTCCAAACAAAAATAAATTCACCTTCCTAAATGTGAATTTTGTGGCAGGACCTTAGACATTGATGTTCCATAGTAATAACATCAGTTTTTACCTCAAACAACAAAATAAAATAAATTAGGAGAATTGATTGCTTAGGAGACTGTCATTTCCCTGGATACTGATGTCACCGATTAATTGGCCAGAGGAACTTAAGGGAGGTTTCAGAAACATTTAATTGTTTCTCCAAACTGTTTTTCTCTTTTTGTTATGTTAAGAGATGCAATCACCAACCACCCTGAACCAGACCAAGCCCTACCACAAGAGGAGGCCTATGACCTTTGCCTCATTTTTAATGCTGAGATCTCCTCTCCGGAAGGAGCTGAGGCCTTATCACCATAACCTGCAGTGTATGTGGAGGCATGTCTTCCAACAGAGCCTGTGCAAGTGAATGCCCACCCCTCCCTTTTAAATACTCATTCCCCATCTGAAATAAGTCACCTGCTGTCCCATGCTTGGGGACAGCCATGACTTTGGAAATAATTCCGTGTGGTCTCCTATTTGCTGCAAATACACTCTATTTTGTGTGACAACTACTTCTGGTGGAGTCTGATTTTAACTTGCCAGGAGGAGAACCCACTTTGGTTCGGTAACACTAACACTTTTCCTTTTCTTCCTAATAATACTAGCCTTATTTTGTTTGGGTAATAACGTGTACCCAGCTAAAAAATTACATTTCCCAACCATTCCTGTGCCTAGAGATAACTATGTGACACAGTTCGGAGATGTAAACAGAAGTTTTCAGGTGGCATTTCTGGGACAGCTCTTTAAAGAGGGCAGACTGGGTTGGTACACAACTTTTGCCCTTTACTGTTCTTCTTCTTCCCACCCAGAACATGGATATCTACCTAGAGTTGGACAGGCAAAGGGTGAAAGTTATTTGCTAAAGATTGCAGAAGATAAAGACAGAAGGAGCATGGGCTCCTGATAGTACTATGGAATTTGGGAGAGCCTATCTCTAGATTTCTTATTATATGGGGGGGAAAAAATCTCCAACTTGTTTAAGCCATGGGTAGGGGGTGGGGGTGGAGGGGTAGTCTATTACATGCAGCCAAATGGAATCCTAACTGAGCTGAGATATAATTCTCAA